ATCTTCTTTTTAAAATGTTCTTAGGATGTTTTCTTTTGGACTAAAATTTGCTGATTTAGTCTGGTCGGATAAACGTCTGGTCTCTACGGAAAACATGTTTGGTCTGGTCTCGTTTGATCTGGTCTAAGACTGAAAACAACCCAAAAGAAACCATCCTTATTTGATTTCACATTGGTAAAGGAGTTATTTGGATGAAATGGTTGAATTTTCTCAACATTTATTTGATCCAAATAAGACAAAACACAACTTATTTTGCTTATTATGCTAATTATGCTAATAAGGCTAGCAAATGAAGCCCTAATAATGAATGATTTGGTGAATCTCTGAACTCACGGAATACAACCAATAAAAAGAAATGCACTATTTTTCTAAGAAATTGTATTAGTTTCAAAGTCAAATATGGTAATTATCTCAGAAATGTCAAATAGTTTTATTTTGATGCATCTGCTTTGGCATGTGTCATAGCAATTTCTGTATACAGGCACATTGCATGCATACGAAGTCTTATTTTCACAAGTACATGGTGCATGCACCGGAAGATGATTTCAAGAAAGTTGTCGCCATTCATTAGGGAAGTGATAATGACACCATCTAAAGTTGTTTTTCTTTCAGTAGTTGGTAACAATCTTTTCCATATATTTATGCAGTTCTTTTGTTTCATCATTGCAGTTGGTATTTGTGGTTATCTGCCATTTTCTTCTTGTTACGAAATAAAAAAAGTGTGCAACTAAAAGCCCATGATTACCTATTTCATTGCTTCTTGAACATATTTTTGAACATGTTTAATTTGATACTGGATGACTTAGCGTGGCCTGCGCTCTTAAATTGACCGTATTTATCTATTGGGCATCAACCCTCGCGCAACGCGCGTGCCCATGCTAGTATAAGTATATACGGTAATACGGAGTGTTTAATGAAAACAAAAGAAATCCGAGAATACATATGTATAGGGATGGACTGGGCCGGGCTGAACCGGCCCGGAACGGGACCGGTTGGCCGGTTCCGGGCTTTTAGCCCGTGTGGGCGGGTTGGCGGGCCAGGCTCGGGCCCTTTTTTTGTTGAACCGGCCCGGGCGGTTCGGGCCGGGCCTGGTTCATTTTTTTTTCAATTTTTTTTCTTTTCCTAGGGTAGGGCTGGGTGTTTTGGGGAGGTTTGGGGGGTGGGGGTGAGGGGGGGGGGTCGGGGGATAACAAGAAAGCCAAAAAATTAAAAATTGAACCGGGCCCGGCCCGGCCCGGTTAGGCCTGGACCCGGTATCAACCCGGGCTGGTTCCGGGCCCATGTAACCGGAAAAAAAGCCCGCCCGGGCCCAGCCCGGAACCGGAACCGGACCGGCCTGTGTCCATCCCTATATATGTATTAATGTATATCGAATAACAATATAGCAAGTACTGAATAAATCGAAAAAGATGACAAAAGGAGCTACTGGAAGAAGAACCGCAGGAGTGAAGAAGGAGAACCGTCTTTGATGCGGAGGAAATAGAGGACGTGTGGACAAATGGAAAATAGGATTTGAAATAAGAAGGGAAAATGTTGTCCAACACTTCATTACACCCCCAATTGGGGTGTTAAAAAATGATAAATATAGGTGTTAGGAAGGTTATTGTTAACACCCTTAAACACTTGCTAACACCTCTGGATTGTTTTAATTTTTCTCCCAAACAGATGTTAAATTAAACACTCATCAACACTTCCATCACTAACACTCTCCAACACCCAATCCAAACAGGCCGTAAGAGAAGAGAAGTTGTTGAGGAGATCGATAACCAAATAGGGAAGACATGCACAGCTTTCTTGAAATGCGTTTGGCACTTAGTGACTGAAAAAAACTTAAAAAGAAAAGGTGATAGCTATTTGGTAAGAAACTGACTATTTGATTTAGTTCGGTATGGTATACAAGCTGTTAAAATTAATTGATATGGAGTACTAAAAGTCACGAGCTTTTCTCAGATGCTACACCCGGTAGTATCTCAAAAAAGATCTTTTAATTTTTGAAAAACTCTTAAAAAATGTCATGTCAAACATACAACTAGAGTCTTTTAAGGTCTTTTTAAAGAGTAGAGAAGCTTGAAGCTAGAACCTTTTGTGTGTCAAACATAGTCGTAAAATCGGTTTTGATTAGACTTCCATTCAGACTCTGAAATAAAAACTGAAAAGTGAAAAGTTGAAAGTCTAAATTTGAAAAGTAATATGTTGGTGAACATAATTTACATAAATGATATGTCAAGTATAAAAGTGGACCATAGGGGTAATTTTCACTTAACGTTTAGGGAAATTTTCACAAATAGACTAAAAATGAAAGTAATATCACTTTTCTCACCATTCAAAAATTCTTTCAAAAATAGATTTGGTACGCCTTTCTTTTAATAAATAGCCGATGCGTACCAAACCACCTGCTGGAACCTATACTACCAAGAAACCTAGTTAGCTTTTTTCCGTTTTAAACGCGTTTTAAACACGTACCGTTTTTTTGAGTAAAAAAACACGTTTAAAACGAAAAATAATGTCGGTCCGTTTAAAAAGGAAAAAAACTCCTACTTCCCGTATAAAACGTATTTTTCCCGTATTTTACAAAAAACAGAAACATGAATTGATCAATTAAACGAATGCATTAAATGCATAGAAGATCAACAATAGTTTAAAAGTAGAAATGAAAACACTCTCCTCGTGATCCCGTGTTTTTGTATTGTTAATTACAATACAATTATTAATCACTAAAATTAATTGCATGACGGTTAAAGCTAGCATCCTAAAGACTAAAACTTAAAACACTACTCCCTCCGTCCTTAATAGTTCTTTCATAGTACAAATGACACACATATTAAGAAAGTGGGTATTGTGTTGTGGAGAGTTGTGCAAAAGATAAATAAATGTGTAAGAAATGTTGTGAATCACTAATTCATTACCAAAAAAGGAAAGTGGAAGTTCTTTTGATATGAATGAAAAAGGAAAGTTGAAAGTTCTTTCAGGGACGGAGGGAGTACTAGATTTCTGATGTTTTTTCAAACAAGCTTATCAAAATTAAGGTTTTTCTAAACTGGACATTTTTTAGTATAAACTTTTACACAAACAATAATAAGCGTAGCAATTGCACAACTTTTCTCATATGTCATCCGTCATTTTGATGAAAATTATGAGTATAACTTGAGTGTTATTTGATGATAATAGAAAGATAATGATTTTAACTTAGTCTCATTCTATTGTTATTATGCCTTATTTTTTGACGTCATTTTGCAAAATTATGTCTTGGACTTGCACCAAGAGGCTCTCCAGTAGAATTACGAATTATGTTTAGGTAGCAATGGAATTTGCCTCCTTGTCCTGGAGGCTCTCCGGTAGAATTACGAATTATTTTTATGTAGTAATGGAATTTGCTACATGAATATGTGTACTTTTATTTCTTTTTACTATATATGTTGTTTTATATAAAGTATATACTTTAAATGTTCAAAATAATGCCCCGTATTTTTTGTCCGAATTTTTGTAACCGATGACGTATTATACACGTATACGTATTTACACGTTTTATAAAAGTCAACGTTTTTTTCAACGAATTTTTGACCGTTTTTTTCATTCATGTTACCGAATAAAACGCGAACGTATTAAACCTCGTTTAATTCCCGTACCGTATTTAACTAACTAGGCCAAGAAATGCACATGACCTTCCAACTCAGTACTCAGTAGTGCGCAATACACACCATCTTTGATAACTGAATCCAAACTGCAAGAGTTACTCAATTCTTAAATTTAAATAGAAAATAATGTAAAAAAGATTAAAAAAAAATTAACTGAAAAACAATTCTGAAGGTAAGGAAATTACATAAAGTAATACGGAGTAACAAAATAAAAAAAAATTATAAAGAATTTGAAGTTAAATTATAAAAAAATACATAGTTTGTAGTACTCCGTATAATAAATTGATGAAAACTAAAAAAATGTCAATTCTTAATCATAAAAATATTTAAAAATATATATTCATATAAAAATAAAATTATTAAAAAATAATATATATATATATATACAATAAAAATTAAAAAAATCATATAAATATGTTAAAAAAGTGAAAATAAGTCAAAAAATTTTAAAACATATGTAAAGGACGAAATATATAAAAACTAAAAATATATGAAATTTTGATATATATATATATATATATATATATATATAAATTTGACAAAATTGAATAAACTCATAGAAAATATTAAAATAAAGAAACAGAAAATAAAATATATAAATGTGTAAAAATAGGAACTCAGAAATAAAAATGTGAAAAATGAAAATAAAATATAAAAAAGATTACACCCGAAAATTTAGAAGATAATTAAAATAAAATGAAACATAGACAAGACTAGTAGAAATTGAAGATAAACACAAAAAAAAATCAAAAAAGAAGAAAACTAATAAAAAAGACAACTAAAAAGTATACAAACTATCATAAAGTACAAAAGATTGAGAGAATGTAAGGTAAAAACGAAAAATAATAAATGAACAATTAGTAAATTAAAAAATGTGAAAATTTAGATACAAAAATATCGTAAAATTGGAAAAGCTAAGCAAATATTAGAGAATATGATATTTTAAAACATTCAAAAAATCAAATTAAAATTTAAACAAGTTATTAGAATTATGTAAATTAAACAGTGTGTAAATATTTAAAATCGAAAATCATAAGGTGAATAAAATAAAATAACGAAAATGAAATATCATAAATTGAAAAACTTATACTTATGAATTTACACATTTTAATTTAATCCGACTATTATCATTATTATTTAATTGTTACTTTTGTTGCATATGATTTCTTGGTTTCTTTTTGAGTTTTTGTTGATAATCTTTTTTGTTTTTTATTGTTTCTTTTTGTTTATCCTTAAATCCAAATTTATCATTTGAGGTGGTTATGTGTGTGTGTGCGCGCTTTTTTTATGCCAAATAACTAAATAAGTAAAGGATATAAATCTAAATAGACCAAAAAACCAAAACCAATAATAAAAAATAACAAACACCCCTAACAAAAAATAGTATGATGCAACAAAAAGTAACACGATGCAACAAAAAGCAACATGTGCGATGCAACAAAAAGGAACAAAAATAACATGTAAAATTATCTCAACATACATATATTTTAATTTCTTATTACAATTTATTCATTTATCTATTACATGTATGCTTTGTTCTTTTGTCTTCACTTTCCCTGTCAATCTTCTCACCCTAGCATCTTCATGTACCTATATTCTATTATGTGCCTACAACCAGAAATTATTAAGAGTGTCAATGGAGGAAACTTCATAACAGATGAAAAGGAACGGTGAAGTTTAAAATATACTTCATAACAGATGAAAAGGAACGGTGAAGTTTAGAATATAAGAGTGCCATTTTTACCAAAACAGTAATCCATATAATGATTGTGAGAAGAACATATATTCGTACCATATTGGCATTGATTTCAAGATTAGGACAATGAGCTTGATGCAAAACGTATCAAACTTCAAATCTGGGATACTGTTGGTCAGGAGCGGTTCCGAACAATTACCACTGCTTACTATCATGAAGCAATGTCTATTTTGTTGGTCTATGACGTGATTCATCTTTTAACAAATCGGAACTGGATTCAAAACATCGAACAACATGCTTCAACAATGTCAACAAAGTACTCGTTGGAAACAAGGCTGATATGGATGAAAGCAAAAGGGTTGTTCCTACTTCCAAGTGTCAAGCATTAGCTGATGAATATGAAATAAAATTCTTTGAGACAAGTGCCAGACCAATATGAAGGTTGAGGAAGTCTTCTTTTAAATAGCTAGGGGTATCAAGCAAAAGCTAGCTGAGTCCGACACAAAAGCAGAGCCTCTGACCCTCACCAGCCTCACAAGGTAATCAAGCAAACCAGGCAGTGGAGCAGCTGCTGCAGCTCAAAAGCTTGTTGTGGTTACTAAGCTACTTGCTGATAGGATGATGGTTGTTGATACACCCTCAAGATGGCCATCTGTATTAATAAGAAATGTTCAAAAAACTATTAAAATAACTTTGAATTAAAACTTAAAGGCTGATATGGATGAAAGCAAAAGGGTTGTTCCTACTTCCAAGTGTCAAGCATTAGCTGATGAATATGAAATAAAATTCTTTGAGACAAGTGCCAGACCAATATGAAGGTTGAGGAAGTCTTCTTTTAAATAGCTAGGGGTATCAAGCAAAAGCTAGCTGAGTCCGACACAAAAGCAGAGCCTCTGACCCTCACCAGCCTCACAAGGTAATCAAGCAAACCAGGCAGTGGAGCAGCTGCTGCAGCTCAAAAGCTTGTTGTGGTTACTAAGCTACTTGCTGATAGGATGATGGTTGTTGATACACCCTCAAGGTGGCCATCTGTATTAATAAGAAATGTTCAAAAAACTATTAAAATAACTTTGAATTAAAACTTAAAGGGTAGAAAAATTAAGGTTTGACTTGCAAAATGCAACTGAAGGATGGTCATCAAAGGAACCAACTTGAGGTGAATAGTTCCAGCATCTTTCACATTTCTCTCCCTTTGTCCGTGACGCGCCAATCCAGACTTGACTTCCTCCTTGAATAACTTACTCTCCTGTTTATGGTATTCCTTCAACCTGTTCATCTTCCAAGGATGAAAGGACCTCCACCTGCCAACCACAATTTTTGAAAATGTGTTCATGATTTTTTTAATATTAAACAAATTGTTCGTCTTCTAATAAACTCCCATACTACCCAAATAATTTTTTATCCTTTTTGATACTCCGTATAAAATAGAAGCACCTCATATGCTTAAACGATTATCAATTGATAGGTCTAGTAAAAAGATCCCAACAAATGAGGGTATAATTAGTACCTGGGAAGTTATACAGATCTGAAGCAACACATCAGCATCACTTTTGGGTTCATGTGCTGCTTCCTTTAACCGTACATCAAGTGTAGTATCCGAAGTGTGCAGCTAGACCATTGCCTCTAAACTGGCACCGATCAACTTCCCAACATGTGCAACTTCGAGTGCTTTGTTCACTTTAGTTCTCAGCCGATAATAAAAGTAGTTCAATTGAATTAGTATAATATTGCTTATCTAACTTAAATATCATGAACAAGTGTAAGTAAATCTCAATTACCTTCGAGTGCTTTGCCAAATCCTGTAAGTTTTCTCCGTTGCCACTTTGGTCATTATTTTATACGGAGTATCCTCAAGTGTTGTCGTTCTATTCTGAAAAATCACTCGCCACAGATTTTAGTGCCCGCTCATCTTCCAGGTATTCTCGAATTCATTTTCAATCTTGCCTAAATTCTGAATCCAAATATTACTGTGAAGAGCCGAAATCAGAAGATGGATTCTCCATCTCAGGTATTTGAATTGTTAAGATAATCACTTTCACTCTCGTAATTATGTTTCGGTTACTTTTTCCCTACATAATACTGCAATATCATACTACGTACATAGTATTATGTTTTATAGTACTTTAGTTTTCCCATTATTATTTAGTTACTCTTTTGTGAACTTTAATAAGGGATAAATCAACTTGTATTTCCCCCGAATATAATCGATAGTCGACACAGTAGACCCCCATGAAATAATTCAAGGGAGCCATGTTATAGTCCAAAATAAAATTAAAGACGTCCCTCACCTATGACCGTCATTTAGAATTTAGACCATACATCTCTGGCCCCAATATATCCCACTAAAAACCAGGAATGAGTGGATAATCAAAATCATGATCATAGAAATAATCTAAAATAACGATAAGAAACAAGAAAAAACATTACCACCAGTAGCTAGGGTGTTGGAATACAATTTTCTTCAAATGTGACACCTTCTACATTGTGCCATTTCATCATTCTCAGGAAGAACAATATAGACCTCAATGGTCCTATTTTATCATTTTTAGGAAGCCACAGTAGAGACCTCATTCTCCTCAAATCCACTCTGTTTCTCCACCCAACTAAAACCGGAATCCTTAACTATATTCTCTTCGACCATCCTTTCTCTAACCACCTTTGATTCATCCCATCTTCCCAAAGATGAATACATATTGGCTAGAAGAACATAAGGGGCAGAATTCTCTGGATCCAGCTGCAAAAGCTCGTTTGCTGCTCTTCTTGCTAAACTGACATTTGAATGAACCCTACATGTACTAAGCAATACCTCCCACACAATAGGGTCATCGTGGAATGGCATCTTATATAAAATCTCGTCCACTTCATTAAACCGGCCTGCTCGACCCAAACAATCAATAATACAAGTGTAATGATCAACAAGGAGCTCCACTCCATATTCCTTCTGAATCGAGTGGAAAATGCTAATCCCCTTATCTACTAATCCTGAATGACTACAAGCAGTTAAAACAGCAATGAATGTTACACCATCTGGCTTATTCCCTGTTTGGATCATGTATTCGTATAAGATAAAAGCTTGTTCTCCTTGCCCATTCTGTGCATACCCATGTATCATCTCATTCCAAGTAATAGTGTTCTTACAAGGCATCATGTCAAAATAGAGACGGGCCCCATCTATATCGCCGCATTTAGAATACATATTGATTAGCGCACTCCCTACTACAACATCAGTTGCATATCCATCTTTACCTATCATGGCATGAAGTTGCTTCCCAAGTGATAGAGAAGACAATTTCGCACAACTGCTCAATATAGATGCATAAGTGAATTCGCTAGGAGGTATTCCCATCTTCACCATTTGCTTAAAAAAGGAAATAGCTTCTTTGTCCAATGAATTGATGTTGAAACCCGAAATCATGGAATTGCAACAAACTATATCTAACTGAGACAATCTATCAAATACAAAAGTTGCCATCTTTATGCTACTGCATTTTGAATACATGCCAATAAGACTGCTAGCAACGTATATGTCACCTTGAGTATCGTTTCTGAAAGAAGAAGCATGGAGCTGTCTCCCATATTCCAAAAGTGATATTTCTGCACATGAAGTGAGCATGATAGCCAAAGTGGTCCGATCTGGTCGCACATTTTGAAACTGCATTTTCCTGAAAAGGTTTATCGCTTCATTTTGATCCCCACTCTGTGAGTAGCCTGATAGGATGGCATTAAATGAGCTTAAACTTGGGCATGCCATCCTATCAAATAGCAAACGGCCAGCTTGAACATCCCCAGATTTGACACAACCTGCTAGCATATTAATGTAAGTAACATCATCAGGTTCAAAACCACAACTATGCATGTTTTCCATGTAATCCATAGCTTTTTTTATTTCATAGTTCTGTCCAAATCCGCCTATCATGATATTCCAAGAAACAATACTAGCTTCAGGCAGGCCCTGAAAGATCACTTCAGCACTTGCCATATCTTTGTTCTTGGCGTACACGTCAAGTAATGAGTTACACAGCCGAAGATCATTTTCAAATCCAAGTTTAATAGCAAGGCTGTGAACTTGTTTTCCCTGCACATTACTAGTTTCCCAAGCGTTGATTTGGTCATCAAACAAAAAGTTAGGGATATCACTTTTAGCACAAACTTTGAGAAAGCTTGACAACAAAATGGAATCAATCATGAATCCACTCCGCTGCATAAACTTAAACATGTCAAAAGCCTCTTGCACCTGATCAATGTCAACCAAACCTGATATCATAGCCGTGAAGGAAACCTCATTGTGTTCCGGCAAATCCGCAAAGATCTTGACTGCATCCCCACCACAGCCGCATTTCACATACATACTTAACAATGCATTTCCTACATACACATTCTTGTCAAACCCACACTTTACAGCCAACCCGTGGCATCCCCTCCCAAACTCCATGCCCCTCAGTCCACCACAAGCACTCAAAACGCTCGCAAAGGTGATATGGGTAGGCTCGAAACGGTCCGAAATCATCATACAGTAAACCTCCAATGCCTTTCTTTCATACCCATTTCGGGCTAAAGCACTGATCATAGTGTTCCATGATACACTATTCCGCTCAGGCATTTTGTCAAACAATTGGGTGGCGTGATCTAACTGGCCCGCCTTGCAGTGAGCCCCCAACATAGCATGATAGGAATATATGTTAGGATGGGGCATTTGATCAAAAACGTTGCGGGCGGACTGGGTGAGACCACACTTCGAGTAGCACTCGGTGATGCGATTTGCCAGAAAAGTATCGGAAGAGAGGCCCAGCCGGACGACATGGCCATGGAGAAGTTTGCCGGCGGTGTGGGATTTGTTGTCAATGCAGGTCTGCAAAAGGTTCACTAGATACGTTGTGTTGGTCTTGGCTTGCATTCTTCATTCAGCTTTAAATTCCTTTCATTTAAAGATTAATAAAAATAAATAAAATTAATTTGCATCAACCAGTGCTAGGAAAGCATAGACAATTCATTGATTTCTCAAAATATAAGTTGGAAGAAGGCGTGGTACCCCACTGTTCCATTAACAAGATTAAATAAACTAGTATTTTCTTCGGCTAGTATTTTCTAACTGAAGAAGGTAAAAATAATAAATATTGATACATTTAATTATTATAAACAACTACACATATATTACTAAAATAGAGACCAATGGATAAAAAAGACAACTTATATATAGTCTATACATTCAGTTACTATAATATAGAGACTACATTAATAATTCGAAGTTACTATAATTATATTCAGAAGAAGTAAGAACTATATAGTAAAACTATATATGCTTAAAAGTTAGAAATAATTGCATAAATATGACCAAAATAAAGATAATTTACAAAAATATGATTAGTTACTAGAGTAGTAATGAAATCATAGTAATTCATATTCAAGTTTTGAACTTTAGTTACCACAACACTACGTTGTAGTAATGAATAGTTATATTGTTGTAAATACGTTTTATTTTAGTAATATTCTTGTAAAAAACCGTAAAAGTTAAACATGGATTCTTATGTGAAAGACATAGTCATAGATCCAGAAGAATACAATTAAGAAAAGGTAAACACCTTTAAGAAGTTCTCTGCAAATAAGAATGTATATTTACATAAAAACATAGAGTTCTTAAATAGAATAATAAATAAATGAAATAAAAAATTGAGATTTCGAAATAGAATCAAAGTCTAAAGACAAAGACAGAGATAAATAATGTGTTGAGATATTCTTAAAAGTGATACTATTTGGCTTAGTTTTATCATAATAGAGAATTAAGCTTAGTAAGTTAGTATAGTTTTGATCTAGATCAAAACTCAGTTCCATCAAGAGGCGATATTTCTCAATACAAAACCATATATAACGAACTCAATTTCATTAACAAAATGCCTAATAACTATTTTTGCACCCATGGGACTTAGAAAGTGCCGAAACAAACTACCTATAAATTTTGGAATCAAGACTTTGAAAGGTGATGAAACTTTTCACCATTATAGCAGCCCCCTTATGGCTGTATTAGACACAAATTTTAATATGACATATAGTGGTAAAATAAACAATGTTAACAACTTTAGTCTAGATGATCATATACTTTAAAATGGTAGCTTCAGTATCTAATACATAGATCATTGTAGTGTGATGCCGTAACTGCAGCAGTGCAGCTTCAGTATCTATTATTAGTATCATCAATATGGCTGAGGTGACAAAGATTTCAATATGAAATATTATGTTAAGAAATCAGGTGCTCTTTTTCTTCTTCTACCCCTTGGAACTCATCTGGAGAAGCATAAAATGGTTGATTTTGTTAAGTTATAGACAAAATCTTTTCTTAACTATTTAGGGAGCAATATACTTGGTTTTTTACTCTTTATCTATTTTAATATTAAAAAAAATCTAGCTAAAACTAAAAATCTAACTTAAACAAAAAATGTGTAACCAAGCTAGAATGTTAAAACACTTCAGTTTTCTTATGTAATCTACCCAATATTGTCCTCATCTACACACACAAATATCTATTTCTAAATATACCAGTGTGTGACCATCAGATAGAGCAACAATGTCTTTATCACTCAGCCCCATTTGCACGGGATGAAGTGACGGACAATATATTCTCTGAATGAAGACGGTAAAAATAATAAATATTGATACATCTAGTTATTAGAAATAATTACACATATATTACTAAAACAAAAAAGACGATGGATAAAAATGAAAACATATACAGTGACTATATTAGTAATACTATAATCATATTCAATTTACACTATAGTTGCTACGATATTAGATTGATAATAACTTTAATTACATTTTTATTTATAAGTTTAATTTCAATACTACCCGTCCCACAAAACACAATCAAATTGATTTTCTTAGTCAATGGTAGTAAAATGTGGAGAGTGATTTTTGTTATTATATTTGTGTCAAAATTAAAAAAATAATCTTTTATGAACACACCCTTTATGAACGGAATGGTAATGAAAGTCTTATTTAAAGAGCTAAAAACGAAATTATCATTAGTAAATATTAAAAATTTATGAATAGGAAAGTTGACCCTATTGAATTCCTCAACTTCTAAGTAGCCCTATTAAAGATGTCTTTGTGCAAACCTAAGCCTCATTGAGCTCCTAACGAAGTGTCAAAAAATTAGTTGGCCCTATTGAATAACTTAACCATTAAGTACGCTATTAAGCAGGCCATAAGAAAACCTAAGCTTCACTGAACCCTTTAATGAGGTGTAACAACAACTACGACTATAGAAGGAACATAGTGCAGCAGTTTATATATAATTAGTTCCAAAAGAGGAATTTTAGAAGAATTCTTTGGAGCTTGGTGTTGTCATTGAGAAGATTTCTTAAGCTTCTATTTTTAATAAGTTCTTTGTACTACAAAAAAAACATAATTTGATTATATTTTCCTGGTTTAGATGAAGAGTTTAAAAAGGAAATAATCATTAATAACTCTTTAGAAAAAAATGAAAGGGAAAACAGATGTTAAAGTCTTTGAACTTAGCAAGTTTGCCCTGTTGAACTCCTTAACTTCTAAGTAGGTTACTGAGCATGTTGCGTGCAAATCTAAGCCTCATTGAACCCCTTGATGGGATGTAATAACATCAACTAATACTCTGAACTGAGTGAAGCAGATTATATAGAATTAGTGCCCATATAGAATTCTCTCTCAAAAAAGTGGAGAATTTTTTGGAACTTGGTTGTATCATTGAGAGGCTTTCTGTAGTACAAATCATCTTGTCTTGTAAGTAATTGCATGTGTAAGAGTTTAAAAGTAATTATTAATATATTCAACTGACCAAAAAGCATTTTATATCAAAACAGGGATATCCAGTTCATTCTATTCCTCCACAACTAATTAACCACAGTGCAATTCAAAGATGAATTACACCTCTAAACAGTTTCTACAAATAAGATCACAGGTTTTTAAAGATGGGAGTGGAGGGGGCTGAAAATAGACAAACATAAATAAGTAAACAATTAATTAAAGGTGTAACAATTGTCACCTAATTTATAAAACAAATACAGTCAATGAAAAAATGTTGAATATCCTAAATGAAGGTACAAAGGAAAGTAAGTTGATGTGGAACCTTATATGCTCATAAAGTCAGAATAGAATATTTGAGCATGTTAAAAGCCTATCCACATTTAAGAATTTGAAAAATTAAGTGAATAGAAACAAATAAGTTCACCTAAGCATTTTATCAAACATCTTAATTGCATAAAATCATATTGAAGTAATTTGAACAAAAAAACACCCATGGTGGGCAAACCAGAGCATAAACTCAGATTGTAAATGTAGAAAAAACAACTAAGGAAGTAACTCACTTAGGCTCTTCTCACTTGAAGAAGAAGCTTGAGCCACTTCGTAATTTTGTGAAGAATAAGGTATAAATAACAGTAGAATGTCAGCCCCATGATCTGAAAAACAACACACAAAGTTCTTAGTCGGTAAAATAGTCAGTTAGATAGGGGGTATCAATTTTTACATTTCTTTATTACTCGCGTCCTCTAGTTTACATTTATATTAGTGCATGAGTCCTTCATATCTGGAGGTCTGAATTTTTTCTAGTAAAAGTTATAGTTATTAGTGTAGACGTTATGGTTATTACTCCGTAGTGTAGAAGTTATTTCTTCTGATATAGTTGTGTGCTAATAGTTTTGATATTATGCTTTTCCTATACTAATAGTAAGAATGCGTTTAAGTTGATGTGGTTGCGATTTTAATTTCAATTTGTTCCAAATTGACCACTGTTAATTTATATTATAATTGTATGTTCACAATCTAAATGTTTATGAAATGTAGATCTAGGATATGAGTGATAGCTATTGAGCTTGGGGCACTCTGGCCAGGAGTACATCAAGGAGGCTAAATAGAGCCAACTCAGCCAAGTAATGAAGCTTTCAAGCACCCCAAATCATAGTTTTGTTTCACAAGTTCATGTTAGATGTTTGATATTAAATCAACATTTTAATAGACTTTAATTTAATTTAATTTAAGTGTATTATAGTACATGTGCTTAACAGAGAAGAGGAGTCTTTGGAGTGCAAACTGTGCAACAGAGAAGAGGAGTCTGCCGATCATGTTTTTCGGTTATGTCCTCAAGCTCGGCTGTCCGGCAGCTAGCTGGTGATTATTTTAGCCCTGCTGCAAACAGTTTGGAAGGCTGGGTGCAAGCAGTCCTGGGGAATGCAGTGGACGAGAGATGGGGTAGGTAGGGGTGGTTCGGTATGGTATACCGAATATTTTATCGCATACCTTTACCATACCGTAAACTTTCGGTATGCAAAAATACATACCGTTACCATACCGAAATTTCGGTATACCTTGTTTTGGTATACCTAATATGTTTCTTAACAGTCACTAAGTAACTATGACGCTTCTTTTTTCCTCACTTCTAAAAAATAAAGCGTAACTTCTAAATCTAAATCAATGACTATTATTCTGAAATTCATTACGACTAAGCAATGATCAAGTGACTGTTTTCATGTTAAAATTCATATGATTGAGACTCAAGTTGTATAAATCCATATCAAACTTTTAGTTTAGTTACAAGTCTAACAAGTTATTAAACGTTAATTACATACAAAAACGCATGATTATTTGAGACTTGTAGTTATTAAACGTTGGTTACATACAAAAACAGGAGCTAGCACCTAAAGATGTAGTAAGGATTGGTATGGAAGATCTTATCAAGTATTTTTACCTTCCAATTACTGAAGCTTCAAAAAGGAAGAAAATTGGGATTACAGTACTCAAGTAGAAGTGAAGAGGAATCGGTATCCTTGGTTAGACTCATTAGAAATCTCCATCTATCTTCATCTTTTACTTCCTATTATACTTCGTATATAGTTACTAGTTCATCTAAGTAATTTCGGATTCTACTTTCTTAAAGCCTCTTTTTGACCCATAGTAGTCATGAAAACTAACCCTAATAGGCCTAAAACTAACAAATTGAAGATCAATCAACCTGAATTCAGAAGAATATCGTAGGCACCAAGTAGATTTTGTCTTTGAAATTATGTAACAAGAATCTGTAAAGCATAAACAAGATACTCACCTTTGAATTTCAAAAATTCATTGTCAAACTCTCCATCGATCTAACTGGGAGCAGAAACAGAATTGAATTTAGCGATCCTCTTACACAAATAGACGTCTCTCAGATGCACGCTCCTCAAACTTGAATCAATGAAGATAAACGAAGAAGTTTCTAGCAATTGGCGTACGATCTTCGTCTTTCAAAGTTGATCGGAGAGAACAGTGTAGACCTGAGGAAGTCGATTAAGAGAATCAAATGTATAAGGAGAGAGAAACTCTTTTCAGCTCATCCGATTAGGGGTGGGAAACCGACTCTGGACCGACTCGAATATTGATCTCGGTCCGGTTTTTTTCTTTTTACCCGGCCCGAATTAAAAAAAAAAACGGACCGAACCCGAAATTCCGGGCTCATTAACGGGCCTTAATATCTATAACCCGACCCAGACCGATAAAACCCGAAACAATTAGCTTTACTACAAAATTAATATAATATATGAATATAAATTTTAAAATATTTCCTAATATATGATTATAATCACGGTAGATAAAAAATGATTTTGTAACTTTTAGTGACTACAAATATGTTCAATTTGTTTAGCGTAATGACCATGAAAATATATTTATAGCAACTCTAGTCACATATTTATCTATAAATTTTATTTCGTGATATTTTTAAGAAGTCTATATTATTTATTTATATGCATCTTAAATAAAATATTAAGATACTTAATTATCTTCTTTGTATTCAAATTGTTGGTGATTTTGGAGACTAATATTTGTGCTATTATTTGCGGTTTGTAATTTTGATTAATTTTATTTGAAAATAGGTGTTAAAATATAAAAGAATAATGAGATATTTCACGTTCGGGCTTTAACTGGCCCAACCCGAACCCGGACCGAACCCGGGCTACCAAAAACCCGACTCGGACCGAATCTAATGGGCTTTGTTCCGGTCCTTAATTTTCATAACCCGAGACCTTCCGGGTAATTTCCGGGTTTAGCAAAAACCCGACCTAGACCGGACCGATCTCACCCCTACATCCGATTGTAGAGAAACAAAAATTAGGAGCAGCTGAGAACCGTATGAGAATCGTATGCTAGCAGGTTGTGTCAAATATGGGGATGTTCAAGCTGGCCGTTTGCTATTTGATAGGATGGCATGCCCAAGTTTAAGCTCATTTAATGCCATCCTATCAGGCTACTCACAGAGTGGGGATCAAAATGAAGCGATAAACCTTTTCAGGAAAATGCAGTTTCAAAATGTGCGACCAGATCGGACCACTTTGGCTATCATGCTCACTTCATGTGCAGAAATATCACTTTTGGAATATGGGAGACAACTCCATGCTTCTTCTTTCAGAAACGATACTCAAGGTGACATATACGTTGCTAGCAGTCTTATTGGCATGTACTCAAAATGCAGTAGCATAAAGATGGCAACTTTTGTATTTGATAGATTGTCTCAGTTAGATATAATTTGTTGCAATTCCATGATTTCGGGTTTCAACATCAATTCATTGGACAAAGAAGCTATTTCTTCCTTTTTTAAGCAAATGGTGAAGATGGGAATACCTCCTAGCGAATTCACTTATGCATCTATATTGAGCAGTTGTGCGAAATTGTCTTCTCTATCACTTGGGAAGCAACTTCATGCCATGATAGGTAAAGATGGATATGCAACTGATGTTGTAGTAGGGAGTGCGCTAATCAATATGTATTCTAAATGCGGCGATATAGATGGGGCCCGTCTCTATTTTGACATGATGCCTTGTAAGAACACTATTACTTGGAATGAGATGATACATGGGTATGCACAGAATGGGCAAGGAGAACAAGCTTTTATCTTATACGAATACATGATCCAAACAGGGAATAAGCCAGATGGTGTAACATTCATTGCTGTTTTAACTGCTTGTAGTCATTCAGGATTAGTAGATAAGGGGATTAGCATTTTCCACTCGATTCAGAAGGAATATGGAGTGGAGCTCCTTGTTGATCATTACACTTGTATTATTGATTGTTTGGGTCGAGCAGGCCGGTTTAATGAAGTGGACGAGGTTTTATATAAGATGCCATTCCACGATGACCCTATTGTGTGGGAGGTATTGCTTAGTACATGTAGGGTTCATTCAAATGTCAATTTAGCAAGAAGAGCAGCAAAAGAGCTTTTGCGGTTGGATCTAGAGAATTCTGCCCCTTATGTTCTTCTAGCCAATATGTATTCATCTTTGGGAAGATGGGATGAATCAAAGGTGGTTAGAGAAAGGATGGTCGAAGAGAATATAGTTAAGGATTCCGGTTTTAGTTGGGTGGAGAAACAAAGTGGATTTGAAGTGGATTAGTGGCTTCCTGAAAATGATAAAATAGGACAATTGAGGTCTATATTGTTCTTCCTGAGAATGATGAAATGGCACAATGTAGAAGGTGTCACATTTGAAGAAAATTGTATTCCAACACCCTAGCTACTGGTGGTAATGTTTTTTCTTGTTTCTTATCGTTATTTTAGATTATTTCTATGATCATGATTTTGATTATCCACTCATTCCTGGTTTTTAGTGGGATATATTGGGGCCAGAGATGTATGGTCTAAATTCTAAATGACGGTCATAGGTGAGGGACGTCTTTAATTTTATTTTGGACTATAACATGGCTCCCTTGAATTATTTCATGGGGGTCTACTGTGTCGACTATCGATTATATTCGGGGGAAATACAAGTTGATTTATCCCTTATTAAAGTTCACAAAAGAGTAACTAAATAATGATGGGAAAACTAAAGGACTATAAAACATAATACTACGTACGTAGTATGATATTGCAGTATTGTGTAGGGAAAAAGTACGTAGTATGAATTGTGTAGGGAAAAAGTAACCGAAACATAATTACGAGAGTGAAAGTGATTATCTTAACAATTCAAATATCAAACGTACTATTATTCCCGTGTAATTGCAGGATCATAAGTGTTTTCCATTAATGTTTTACAGGAGTCTTTGTAAATTTTTCTTTTGCAGGAAAGGGAAATTCCATAAGCTCAAATGATTCTGGCTGGTCTGTACTCTGATGCCTCTTAGTGCTATATTGCCCTCAAGTTACACTTTCTGCGTGCTAGCATGTGGCCATCAGATAATCAGTCTTCACCCATGGCGGTTTTAGTTGTGATGCTCATAAATAGGGCTGGACTCGGGCCGGGCGGACCGAACCGGGCCCGACCCGGCCCGCTCACTGTTCTAACCGGCCCGACCCAGTCAACCGGGCCCTAGGCGGTTCGGGCCTACCCGGCCCGGGTGCAGGGCGGTCCGGGCTCGGGCCTCTAATTTCTTGAACCGGCCCGGCCGGGCCGGGCCCGGTCCGGGCCTAACGGCTAAATTTTAAAAAAAAAAAAAATTCTTTTTCAATTGTTTTTGGCCTTTGTAGCCGTTGGGGAGGCTCCAAACGGCTCTATAGCCGTTGGAGAGGGGTGGGGGGTGGGGGGTGGGTGGGGGGGTGGGGGGGTGGGGGGTTGGGGGAGAAAAAAAAACCTATTTATACTCCTATTTTCTATACATTTTTTACACCTTCTCTACTCTCTAATTCTCTATTCTCTCAATCTCTAAAATCTTCATTCATCTCCATCTTCATCTTCTATTCTTCTCCAATTTATCTCTACATATATATTATTTATATAAATATTATTATATCTACTTATATATTTATTATCTACTTATATATACATATATTACATTACTAATATTTATTATCTACTTAATATATATTTATTATCTTATAATTAGCTACTTTACATATATATATATATATATATATATATATATATATATTATATATTATATTAACCGTTTTAGTCGAAAAAACGGTTAAAAAAGAAATTATAAGGCTTTATAAGGCGGAAAAGTTGAACTTACAAAATTTTTTTGCAAACTATGATGGACGTGTTACTGTTTGTTCTGACATATGGGAGGACACCTATCATAATTTACATTATTTGGGTTTGACTGCACATTATGTTGATGATGATTGGAATATGCATAAACGTGTTCTTGCTTTTCGTGAATTTAATGATCGTCACACCGCTGAACATATTTATATTTTGATTGAGCGCATTTTAATTGAGTATAATTTGGTTAATAAGGTGTTTGCTATAGGTTTTGATAATGCTACTAATAATACTGCTGCTATACCTAGATTGCGTGAATTGTGTGGTGCTACTAATTTGATGGGTAGATTTTTTCATCAACGATGTGCATGCCATATAATAAATTTATGTGTGCAGGATGGTCTAAAAGCGTTGGGAGATGCTATGGAGGTAGCGAAGGGGGGGATTAGACGTATTTGGGCTAATGGTCAACTTAAATTAAAATGGAAAAATTATTTGAATGAAAGAAATGTGAAATATGTTGCTTTTCCTAAAGATTTGTCTATTCGGTGGAATAGTTCTTATAAATTAATTAGAGTTCTTATTAGATATAAAGAACATTTTCCTGCTTTTTTAAAAGAATATGATAACTACATTTTAAACTCTGCTCACATCGACACTTGCGAAAAAATTTGTAATGTTTTGATATTTTTTAATAATGCAACTGAAAGTTTTAGTCATGTTTATAAACCTACTTCAAACGAATTTATGCGTGAACTTGTTAATCTCGCCGGTGCTTTTAATGAATTTCAAAATGCCGATTATGTGAGCTATTTTTGTACTTTTATGAAGGAAAAGTTTTTAAAATATTATTCACATATTCCACATATTTATGGTATTGCTTTTATTCTCGATCCTCGTTATCGACTTAGTAATTTGGAACAATGTTACAAGTTCTATTATCAATCTTTTTATGGTGATTTTCCAATGTATGAAGATAACCCTATAGATCCGCAATCTGAATACAACGAGGTTAGTAGTTTATTTTATTCTTTATTTAATGAGTTTCGTGCACAATATGGCAACATGCCCCCTCCCCCAACCCAAACATCTTCATCTAAAGGAAAAGGTCTTTTTAAATCTGCATTTGGCAATCTTATGAAAAAAGCTAAAACAACGCACACTACTGAACAAAGCACAATTAATGAGATTGCTTTGTATATTAACTATGAGGTTGAGTTTGTAGAAAATGAAGATTTTGACGTCCTAAAGTGGTGGAAGTCAAAAGAAAGAACGTTCCCGATTTTGGCACGATTGGCTAAGCAAGTACTATCAATGCCGGTTTCAACAGTTGCCGTGGAACAAGAATTTAGTTCGGCCGGCAACGTCCTAACTAAATCGAGAACGTGTTTGAGTGC